GGGGCATAAAGTTGTGATCTCATAGATTAGGGGGTACAGAGCAATAATGTAATAGATTAGTGGGCACAGGGCTGGGATCTCATAGATCAGGGTGCACAAGGCTAGGATCTCATAGATCAGGGAGCACAAGGCTAGGATCTCATAGATCAGGGTGCACAGGGCTTAGGATCTCATAGATCAGGGGGCACAAGGCTAGGATCTCATAGATCAGGGTGCACAGGGCTAAGATATCATAGATCAGGGTGCACAGTTTTAGGATCTCATAGATCAGAGAGCACCAGGCTAGGATCTCATGGGTCAGAGAGCACAGGGCTGTGATCTAATCGTTTAGTGGGACATAAAGCTGTGATCAGTTGTGACCGGTTCAGGATTGTATTTTCTAAGCACAGAAGGCATTGAGGGCAGCTCTTGTGACAGTAGGTAGCATGGCACTGGTAGACTACACAACTCTATCACAACGAACGATAACAAGGGATTCCTACTGGTTAGTAAGAGGCAGCTCGTATAACTGTAATACATATTAGAGCATTAAACGTGATATACAGGATTTCAACGTACATGGGGTGATCAATGTCTGGGTACATTGATCTCCATCTATACTGAGCTGTATTGTGAGTGTTCAACTTGGAGCAGTTGTTTCTCCAACGCACTGGTGGGAGGCAATGGCATGATGCAAATAGCACATCCCACTCATGGTGCTCATCTCCCCCCATAACAAATGTCTCTTACAAAAGACAACACGTGAGAGTGGGCGGAGGGAGTCCCTGCTGGAGGTGTGTATACAGGTGTGACAAGGAAAACAAAGCCTGGAGACAGACATCCCCCTCTCCTCCTAAACTGCACAGCAAAGCTGATCAGAGCAGATCCAACCAGTCACCCAACTGCTGTGATCACACCCACAGCATGAGAAACAGTCATTAGCTGCTCCTGACGTGCCCTCTAAATGCACCCATATGAAGACATCAAAATGACAATTCCATAAAATGAGCGTGCCCCTCTACTTAATTCCTGGATCAGGGGTAGGCAACCTTGGCACTCCAGCTACAAGTCCCAGGATGCACTTCAAAACTGACAGCCACAATCATGTTTCCCAAAGGCAAAGACATGATGTGCTTTATAGTTTAACTAGAGCTGGAGTTCTGAAATTGCCTTCTCCTCGGGATCATATGATCATTTATATTAATGGAGTGACACTGCACAGCTCATTATAAAGCGGCCACCTTCAGAAGTATCACGCTTCTACCACAAGAGGGCGCTGACACGCAGACTACAGTCTGGATGAAGTTCAACCACCTAGAGCTACGGTCTGAAATGTACAGTTTACATTTTTCCCCCTGACATTTCACTGCACTCATTAAACTAACCACAAACGCGATTGGGGATCTGAGAATGTTACATGCCACAGGCTGAATCTGCACTCTGCAGGCACCTTCAAATGGAATCAGCCACCCCTAGCAACCTCTGGAGGAACCCTGGAAGAGAATGGCTAGTCTGGATTGTAATCTCACCAGATATTAATCACCTGAGCCCCATCCATCAGTTTACATCTCCTCCTAAAGTCATTAAAAGTTAGCTGACAATTCTCAGACAATGCTAAGCCCATAAAGAGATTAATTGCACATTAGACAGACAAGTTATTTACTTCCCCAGCAAGATCAGCAGAAAACAATAGGACTTTCACTTGTTTGCAAGCCTCCAGGACAATGTCACCCCCCCTTATCCCGTCCGAGAGTGATAAGTGCAGCACACAAGTCCCAGATCTTTAACAGGCTGAGAAGAGGGGGGTCACAGTATGCACAATTCATCAAGCAATATGTATACAGCAGATCAGAGAAACCTACCTTTCAGAGGCGACTTTTCTGTCTTAGTTCTCATGTTGGAATGCAGCTATGAAGTGGCAGTCATATAATCCACAGGATCTTTCTCCTCCCCTCAACACACTGAATAGGATCCACAGAACAGGGAAAAGGGAGCCTCTCTGGTGCAGTCAGCTACTTTATGAAGCCCCAGGCAAAGCGATTAGCATAGAGCAGATAAGGGTACAGGGAAAGATTGGCTGCCTGGCCCTGCCCACTGCAACATCACAGTCAAAATGACAGAGATCAGAGCTTTCAAATGTCACCTGGCACGATGTTTGGGGTCACAACCTCTTGCAGTGGTGGGACAGACTAGAGACAGCTCGGTAGTGCTGAGGAAGGAAGCGATCAGGGGTCGCCTGTCTTCTCAGGAGACAGCTCTGCTGCTATGTGGCGCCTGGCTGGGGTTGTCACACTGACTTGTGTCATCTGCATGAAAGTCAGCTTGTTGAGACTTTTCTTCCTCCGGGCCGGATACCCAGGGTGGAGCAGGCGCCCCCTGTTCAGCCCTGCCACCTACTAAGCATTTCCTAACAGGAAAAATACTGGTTTCTGAAGTCTTTTTTTCCCTTTTCCTTCCTGACAGTGTAATCCTAGTTAGTGAATCCAGCTAATAAATGAAGAAAGCTGAATGAGCTACACATTGTTTGGGGTTTCTTCTACAATACTACAGCTCACAATTCTATATGTATACAGAAATCAAGAAGCAATTCTACTAGAGGCATTGCTAGACCCTGGCACCTGTCCCAGGTCTTCTACTGAGTGCCCCAGGATTTTTTTTCTGAGTGCCCCAGGCCTCCTACTGAGTGCCCTGAGTGCTTCAGGTCATTTACTGAGTTGCCCCAGGTTTTTTTCTGAGTGCTCAAGGTCTTCTACTGAGTGCCCCAGGTCTTTTATGAGTGCTCCAGGCCTTCTGCTGAGTGCCCAGGCTGTAGCCCTCCTGCCCTGCAAGGTGCAACTGCTACATTTGCATTGTCCATACTGTCATGGCCCCATTGACACCAAATGTCTACAAGTGAATCATCCCTTGGGAAGTAACAAGTTGGTGCACAGCTTTTACCAATTGTGATATTTCCCTGGTTTACCGAAGATACATGAAAAGATTTAGCTGGACCCCTTAGACATCCACACGGCCATTGGCTCCTGCCTAGGTTGCCTCATGGATGATCCTACTCTGTACCTGGCTGCACATCGGTTCTTTGAAATTGAGAAACAGACCCAAAGCAAGCATGTAGTGCATGGAAATGGAAAATCACAGCATAGATGTTTTTACTGAAGAACCTAGACTCTAGAGCCTCAACATAGATAGAAAAAACCCCACATTATACAGGAGGTATATGCAGTCCCTTCACCTGTTTCTCCCTGCTGTTTTAGTTCAGTTTTCCTCATCTAGCATTATAACTGGAACAGTCTTTTACCATAGGTTGCTTCACTTGTCTTTTTTTAATCCTTTATAGAATGGGTACAAAGGTGTAGTCATTTACATGATATGCCCTTGCATTGCTGTGATTCCTGCACAAAGATTACACTGTACAGCTCTCTGCAAACTCACTGAACTCGGCACTAGCACACAGTTCAGGTTACTGACCCTCGGTTTAAATAGTGTGGCCAGACAGAGAGGAACTTTTGTGTTATTAATCTTATTACAGAAAGTATTTTCTGATATTGCCACAGATTAATATGTTTGCATTCAAAGAAGAGTAATGCATATTCAGCATACAAAGATATAACCAAATAGCAGAAAAGAATGCATGGAGGTGGGAGCATGCTTCTGAGACCTGCTGAAAGAGCAGAAATAATAGTATAATGAAAAAAATAGTGCAATACCATTATGCACATAGTATTATGAAAGTAAGCAACTTCTGGGTCCCAAGTCTTTAAATTGAGAAGGGAGGTTACATGGTTTTAAATGCTATATTGGTATACCTGGTCACAAGTAACTGAAGCTACTGCAATCCGTCTCCATATTACTACTAGAAAAGAAAAATGATAAGTAATGCTGCTCTGCAATCCATTTACTCTTCCTCACAGGTAGTTGTTCAATGGCTACATCTGTCTATGTATGCAATTATCATAACAGTGCTTTCTTGTCAACTGGGTATTCAACCTGATTTTGGTGCCAAAAGGTATCCATAGGCTTCAGGGAGTGAAATCGGGCCCTGATTTTCCTAGCTGATCACTATTTTCCCCATGATCTAAGCATGGTACAGTAAATGTCTGTGCAGGGCATAAACCTGCAATGGCATAAACCTGCATACTTGGCTCATAAGAGAATGCATGTTTATGAAACATTTGTTCTGCAGAAAGACTGTACAGTGGTCTGACTTCCTGATTGCCATCCTATGTCACAAAGTACCTATCAGATTCGTTTTAAAACATACTATGTACTCTCTTCATGGATCTTATTATAACACCTCATGTGTGAATGAACCATCCAAATACAATAAACCACAATAGAAATACTGTCAGCTAGAATTACAAAAGTTGGTTCTACTAAGCTACGTAAAACCTTAAAAAACATATGTACATTGTGGGACCCTGCTTTTTTTTTAAGCATGTATATCTTTATTGAATTTTGTAGAATACATAACAACTGGTGGTCATGAAAGTAATATGAGGGAAGAAGTAAGAACTCCCCCAGATTGTTTTCAGTTATATATTAGGATGACGTCTAGGGGCACGCGTAAGGATGTAGTAGAGGAGATGAAAAGAAGGGGGAAAAGATTAAGTTATTGACACACTAAATCATGGGTACGATTGAAGCGTGTATGGTTGAAGCATGTATGATTGAAGTGCAATGCAATGAGTGATCGAAAAAAGCAAAGCGCTAGGGGAAAAATGTGCAAAGGAGCGAAGGGTAGGTGTTCGGGCTAAAACCGATTTGTAAACCTGTTAGGTGTATAGCTGTGTAAAAACCAAACTAAAACACTATAAATAAATAGAGAGGCTCCAACCGTATGAAGTTATACAATTAAAATCAAAAAGTCAAGTCCAATAGATTATATAGTTAATAAGTGCTAATAAACATCAAAAAATCAAAAAACGTGTCCAAATAGGTAAAATAATCCGGTGAACGGTGAACTCCGTGTGAAAGAATGCAAATATACAAAGATAGCAAAGTGCTTGAAGATGATCCGAACAGCCCCTCTCGGGTGGGTACTCACCAAAGGGAAGTTGAAAGAAAGCTCGTAGCGAGTGGTGGCGTGGTTAGACTTAGGATATAAGGATTCATCCCTCTTCAGAGCAGCTTCGGGTTTTAATTATTCTTTCACAATTTATTCACATATTTAATTTTAATTCATTTATTTTCTTTATTATCACCCCCCTCCAGAAGCGCAGATTAATTTGTTTACAATGCAATGAGTACCTGCTAGCAGATGGGGGTTCACCTGGATGTGGGCGTGAAAGGGAGGAAGGGCAATGAAGTTTGATGAGATGGTACATATACACCTATGTAGCAGTAAACACCTTCATATGTTATTAGAGAGACATAACTATGCATATTTAAACATATAAGTCACAAAACATCAAGTTCGCCTAAGACCCATCAGATTTATCCAGGAGATACCAAGAGGAGTATTTCAATTGAGGTTTAGTCTTTTCGGTCAACAAGAACTTAGTCCAGGTCTTAATGAATCTGTCCGTGAAATGTAGGTTGTGTTTAGTGTCAAGTTTATGGATGAGCATGAGGTGGTGTAGAGTAGTCGGAACATCTGCTAAAGTGGGTGGAGTAGTAAGAAGCCAAGCTCTAAGAATATTTTTTAAGCAGCCAAAAGGCAGTAATGTTCCCATTGGGACAATGAAGAGTGGGAGCTAATCAAGGGCTCTTGTGCTACATGGAATAAGCAAAAAGATGGGGTAAGTAACCCTGAGAGGGTTGACAACAGCGACATGTAACGGAGTACAGTTTCCCAAAATCGTTGAATACTAGGGCATTGCCAAAAAAGATGGGTCAGGTTGGGGCGTGGGGCTTGACATTTTTGGCAAGATTGGAGCCAATTTGTATGTGGGTGAGTGGGGCCAAAGTTAAATGCACAATACGCTATCAATAATATAATGTTATCTATAATATCATATTTTGTAAATATATTTTTATACAATTAACGAATGTCAGCACCTCACAGAGAAACCATCTCAGGAACCTATTCATAGTATAGCTGGACTGGCTCAGAATCTACTTCCTATTTGAAATGTTTAAAAAACAAAAACATACATACCCATGTGTTATTTACTGATATTTTGCTGGAGATAATGTGCTTCTGTTAACCTAGTATTCATTAGATTTACCAACAAAGGTGACTGACTTCCAGGTCTCTGTCGGCTTTCTGACATTTTCTGGCCACTCAGGGCAGCAATAGAGCAGTTCTTTTCTTTTCAGAGTTCACGTGCTATTGGCCTTTGGATAAGTTCATTGCCCTAGGATTTGCTGAAATGTACAGTACAAACAGATCACTGCACTTTCCATGCAGAGTGAAATGTATTCATGGAATTGGGATGGAGTGCCCAATTGTCGAATGTGGCCATTTTGCCTGCTAGAAAATGATCCATGTGTACCTAGCAGAGCTTTCCATGTACTTCACATGTCCAGTGCTTCTGGTTCTCAACATGTTCCAGGCAGAGAATCTCATGTATTTAAATGTTTCACATGGAGCGTATTGCATGTCCCTGGCCATGTAGGCCTTATGGTTAGCATGTCACTGGCAGAGAATCCCATGTGCTCAGAATGTAATTGACAGGGAATCACAGGTGGTTGGTTTGGCCTTAGTGACGTATTTCTTGCATTTAGCATGTTTCCAGCATACCCCAACAGATATTTTAATATGCTGAGTGTTCCCCTAGCAGAACATCCCATTGACTCAGAATATCCTTGGCAGAGTACTCCGTATGCTGAGCATATCCCTGGCAGAGAATCCCATGTGTGCAGCATATCCCTTGAAGGGTGCTTCTTATGTGCAGTATGTTCCTGGCAGAGATTTGGAAGACTGCTCCAAGTGCAAAGCAGCACACCCCTGGCAGAGTGCCCTATATGGTTAACATGTTTCTCCTAGTGTGTCTCTTGTGCTCATCATAACTCTAAAAATATTCCTTGGTGTCTATCCCAACTTGAGCAACCACTGCAGTCTTTGCTGAGAATAATACAGTTTCATGCACAGCTGATTGTGCTGCACCTCCACAGAATTTATTGAAGGGGCTTGCAGTATGCTCAACATAGACAACAGTGCATTGGTGCTATATTAACTGTTGGAAAGCTACAGGAAGCCTAATGCATGAGCTGTGGTAATGTACAGCAGCTGCTAATGGGGAAAGTACTGTAGATGTATTAGTGAATGTACACTAAACATAGCAGTTAAAAATAGATATTATGTTTAGTGTACATTCCGTAATACAATGGACTTATATGTTGTATG